TGATTGGTTTAGTTTATACTCAATGATCAATTTGACCTCCAAAACGGAGTAAAAACCTTAAAACACAAACACACATGCCATGTAATTTTTGTATCTACAAGCAATCGAGTCATGCATGTTTAATGTGGATCTTGAGTTTTTGGATTTACAAATTATGCATTTTCGTGCATTTCGTTTAATTTAAATTATTATAACAATTTAATGGTCTTGTTGTCACATTATTTAGCAAAATGTAACTATTAATATTAGGCTATTTGATAGGGCGACAAGTCTAATAATTAGATTGTTGTCATGGTAAACCCGAATATATATATATAATATATGTATGAATTTTATCAATTGAGATATGCATGTGTGATGAGAGATGAGAGAAGTGAAGTGATGATTATGAACAAGTACTTGTCGACAATTTAAACAATGTTTCACCTTTCACTATTATAGTTGCAAACAAATACCAATGTTGTCGAAAGCAAATGAAAATGCAGACAACTAATAAGAGCATGAAATAAATGTGGGATTTGGTTCAGTTCAGCTGGGTTCTAAATTGACTTAAAAACTGTGAAAACAACCCAAATTAATCGGTGCAAATTAGTCAATTCTCGTAGATTTTATGAGATATTTATTAAAAAATATACTTTAGCATGAAATATTATACAAAAATCCATATATGACATATTTGGAGATAAAAACCCAAAACTTCCACTTGTCATTTTATAAATTATTCTTAGTGTGTTAAAATTTTATAAGAACCAATTAGAAAATGACAAGTGAGAGTTTTGGGTTTTTCTCTATAAATAGGCCTATATGGGCTTTTGTATAATATATCATGCTATAATGGGCCTATTTGTAGAAAGCTCACATATTATTCTCATGCCTAATACAAGTACTCAAATTTTATTTTACTTACATGGATTTTTTGTTGTTGCCAAAGTTAGGAAGGGATATGGGGTTTTATGACATACACTATTAAGGTGTCATAGGGGTTCAAACCTAAGACCACTGGTCTACAAGTTAATACCATTTTTCCACTGAGTTAGACATATTAAGTATGATGTTTGGTCCAACGTTCAAGACCCAAAGTTCGGGTCCTCAATCCCAAGTCTAGGAGGCATGGTCAGGTATTATGTCACAAATATAAGTCTACTATCCTAATACTAGTTTTGGGTCAAAGGTCCAAATTATAGGGTCTCGTATATGAACCTCAAGCCTATGTTTAGAGTCATTTGTTCCAAAATTTGGCATTTTGAGTGATGGTATACAATTCGAGTCTAAGATCAAGGTATGAGGCTCGTTTGGTGGCTCGACTTTAAATGTATCGGAGTTGAGTCAAAGTGAATACTTATGAGTCACGCCCATTTATATGAGACTTGTAATACACAATATGTTATATTGTTGTCCGATGTAATAAGCTCAACCCCAACATACCAAACAACAATTGAAAATAGTCCAATTCAGTTTGACCTACCAAATGTGTTAGGGCCACGATTCTAGATACTTGGTGTCCTAATCAATAACTTCTGTACAACTTTACCCAAATGAGCCACTTATTTACATTTTAGAAAGCCCTCCCAATAATGTGAAACTTAATTAAGTCAAACCTAATTAATTTATCATTAATATCATAATTTATAGTAGATAGTTACACATGCTTCTATGTTTTTTTTTTCTTTTTCCGTTTTTTGTTTCTCAAGCGTTCAACTTGTAACTTAATATGACACTTGTCACTTAATTGGGCATATAATCCCATGATATGAATCTTTTATTTTTTATACAAATTTATAAATAAACACAATCCTAGACATGTATTTATAAAAAAACTCAAACACTATTTAAACATAGAAACACACCCAAAATCAACCCCAAAGTCAACTTTTTGGGTGTGTTTATAAATGGGTTTTGAGTGTGTAACACCCCGACTCCAATTATTTTCCTAATTTAATCTAATTAAGAGAAAATATTAATTTACTCTTGGGTTAAGGGTAATTTTGGCCAATTTCTTATCCGGGAAGATTTTGGAACCATGAGTGGTGTGGTTGCGTAGGTTGTACTGAGACGAAACCGTAGACAGGCGGTAGGCTTGAATCGGAGATTTAACGAAACTTTGGCGATCAGAACTTGTTCGGTGGCAGAACCGTAATTATTTCGAAGTAAGTTTGGGGTAAAATCAGATTTTTACTATTTTCACCTCACACTCTCTCTCCCTCCCGCGTACACTCTCTCTCTCTCCCGTTTCTCTCTCCCCGACCCTCTCTTTCTCTCTCTTCGGTCCTCTCAGTTCCGGCAACGAGAAGAGCCGGCATCGGTCCCGTTCAACTCACCTCGAAGCCCCGATCACAACCCACCCCATTTCCCCGCCGGAAAACCCGATTCCAGCCGACGGGGTCGACCGG